TCTTCATTAACTTGTCACCATCTATCGATCTTCTTTCAAATTCACAGAGCAGATGGCCATCGCTATTATAAAGTTAGCTATGACATGACATTGCCATATCCAAATACTCCACTGAGAATTTTCATTTTTTTAAATTTTAGATATTCCGTCGAGACTTTTGCCTTCAACGAAGACAACGCAACGACGGCGACCGAAACAATGTCTGACGAAGAAGAACAAGCCATGTGAGTGTGGAATTTCATTTGCTGAATTTCGAAAAATCTGAAAATTTTGGAAAATTTTGAAAGAATTTGAAAAATCTGACCAAAAATAATCGGGTAGTCTTGAATTTGCAGTGGATCTGAAGGTGAGGATGAGGTGAGCGACGAAGAGGAGCAAGATGAAGAGGAGGCGGAAGCGGAGGCAGTTGATTACGAGCAGGTTGAAACTGAAGAGTGAGTGGTTTGATCAGTTTGATCACTTTGATCACACCACCACCAGTATTGATCAAATCAGACCAGATCAGATCACATTATCGATTGATCGATTTCTGCCCAATGCGTTCACCCTGAAACAATTTTTCAGTGAAAAATCGGAAATACAGAAAAATTTAATTTAAAATTTTCAAATTCCAATCAATTTATTCACACATGCCATCAAATTGCAGGGCCGAAGCGGAAGTGGCACCTGAGGAGACCAAGTAAGTTGTTTTAGTTGATTCTCGGGTAAGCGCTGGCGAGAATTTACCCGAAAATTTTTCACAAGTTCACAAAAGTTACTCGAAAATTTAGCCGAGAGAAAAAATTTTTTCCAGGACTCGACGACCCCCAATCGAGAGACCCGATGATGATCAACCAAAGGAAATGACTGAAGCCGAACAAGCCATGATGGTAGGTGTGGACAGATAGATTCTGAGTTGAAGAGTTGAAATTCTGACTGGAATTTCCCAAAAAATTCCCAAAATTTCCCAAAAATTCCCAAAATTCAGGCAGCCAAAAAGCGGCATGCGGACGACGAGGCAGCCAAGATGCTCGACTACGAGGAGAGACGTCGTCGTGAACGTGAGCAGCAGGACGAGGAGTTGAGGGAGTTGAAGGAGCGGCAAGAACAGCGCAAAAGACAGCGCGAGGAGGAAGAGCAGGAGATGGCCGAACGTCGAAGACAGGACGACGAGAGACGTCGCGCTGATGAGGTAGCTATTTTGTCCGGCATTCTGTCCGAAATGTCCGGAATACTCAGTTTTGTCAAATTGCAGGAGGCACGCAAGAAGCACATGGAGGAGGAGAAGCGTAAACGCGATGCGGATCGCTTGAAACGTCAGCAAATGATGGCCGGATCGTTTGCGGCAATTTCCGGAGATGGCAGCGGAGCGCGTAATTTTGTGATCGATAAGAGCGAAGAAGCAGGTCGCAAGAAGATCACCAATCTCGCCGGGGTAAGTGACTGGCAGATACTTTCCCTTCCCTCCGGGAAACATCAGAAAATTTTTCCCAAAATTTCAAAAAATTTCCCTATTCATACGAAAAATTCAAAATTTCCACCAAAATTTGTGACAAATCTTCACAAATTTCTCAGTTTTTTGAAGGAATTCAACTGAATTTTTTCAAAATTTCTTCAATTTCCCAAGTTGGGAAAATTTTTCCACTTTTTACCCAAATTCCAGTCCAAAGACGGCAAAGAGATGAGCAAAGAGCAAAAAGACGAGCTCCGTCGTGCCTATCTGGCCTCGGTAAGCCGGAAGGCGGACATATCGGAGACAATGGTCAACGATCTGAAGCAGAAGATTCATCAGATGCACGAACGAATCTGTAAGCTCGAAGCCGATAAATATGATCTGGAGAAGCGACACGAGCGTCAAGAGTATGACGTTAGTTTGCACTGAATTTGAAAATTTTTCATTTTCTTAAGCCAAATATTCCATAGTCCATACGAAATATCCGAAAAAATTCCAAAAAATTCCGGAAATTTTTTAAAAAATTTGAAAAAAAAATTCACATTTTTCAGTTAAAAGAGCTGCATGAACGTCAACTACAAGCGGCTCGTAATAGCGCTTTGAAGAAAGGTCTCGACCCGAATGAGGCCACCATAACGCATCCGGTATTAATTTGTTGTTGATGATTATCTTTCTTTCAAGTGCTCCTGAAAAAATAAATCAGTTGATCAGTTTTGATCAGTATTGATCACTTTCATATTGATCCAATTTCCATTTTTCAGCCCAAAGTGAATGTTGTGTCGAAATTCGATCGCCAGACCGATCGCCGTTCCTATGGAGACCGCCGAAATCTCTTTGCAAAGGTGGGTGATTTGGCCGGATTTTTCTTTTTTTTCGAAATTAATCTCATGTTTCCGCAGCAGTCACAAACGTCTAAAAACGCATTCCGCAACAAAATTCAACTGAATGCTCACACGAAATGCTTCTGATAGTTGATCAGCCCAGATGATCAGTTGATCAGCCCAGATGATCAGTTGATCAGCCCTCGAATGATCCATAATCAAATCCGATTGCAGCCACTCGTCAAGAAACAACCGAAGATAGCACGCGGAACCGCGAGACCTCCACCGGAATGGGGTCGTCGTGACAACGAAGAGCTCGAGCAGCTGCGTAAGAATCTCGAACCAGTCAAGTACATCGAGTTGGTGAAAGCCGAAGGCGATGCCGCCCGTCCGCCCGTCCAGCCAATTCCGCTAGTCGTTCCGCAA